CTGCCCCTGGGCTGAGCCTGCTCCAGCGCCCGCTGGTTCACCAGAACCGGTCGGCAGTGCCGGTAAGGGTGATGTGCACCGGTTAACCTGTCACCTCCCTCTCTACAGCCCTTAAAACAGCTCCACCTTAGTCTTCCATCCAGACACCCCAGCTCCAAGGATCCGACCCGTCCCCATCGAGTGTGTCCGACCCCCCCATAGGCGCTTACGGCTAAGTTGTACTTATGGAAGTGGAATGTGTATTAGAAAAGGGAGGGGGCATATTGGCGCCGCGCCGCGAGTTCTGAGCTTGGCTTTCTCGCCGAGCCGGGAGCGTTGGAGTTGCAAAGACTCAGTGCAGGACCAGGCCAGGGCTGATTGCTCGGTGCCCCGGTGCAGGAGGGATCCAAGCCGGCTTAACGCTCAAACGTCCCCTGAAGCCGATTGGCCATTAAAAGGTTCAGGGCCCAAGAGTCGGGGGAGGCGTCATGCGCTTTCCACGCAGCCTCCGTTCCGGACCATTCAGTCCTGGGCAAGCGGAGGGTTTTGGTGCAGCCGCCTTTTCCCGACCCACCGGCCGTTTATCTGTTCAGCTCTGGCAAACGGCACCTTGAAAGAGAGCGGGGGAAATGTCTCACCCGAGATTCATCTAAATGTTAATGTTCCCTTTGCTCGCTGAATCCACAGCTGTGGCAGCGCGCGGGAGCGGTCTGTGCCGCCAGCCTCTCGAGATCCCCGCCGTTAGGAACCCCCCGCCTCCCTACTTGCGTTTCCGTCCTTCCTAGCCCGGGTGACGCCTCGGGCCGCGTGTCCTCCTGGTATAAGATTTGCTGCAATTATACGGCATGGGAACAACAATGGTTTGATGGTCTTGTTTTAATCAGATGCCATCACCCCACCCCAAAGCCACAGTGCTGGCGGGGGGGCTCCTTGGCCAGCCCCCCGCCCCCCACTGACACCAGCTCTGCCGGCCGCGTGTCCTCCTGGTATAAGATTTGCTGCAATTATACGGCATGGGAACAACAATGGTTTGATGGTCTTGTTTTAATCAGATGCCATCACCCCACCCCAAAGCCACAGTGCTGGCGGGGGGGCTCCTTGGCCAGCCCCCCGCCCCCCACTAACACCAGCACTGCCGGGCT